GTCACGTATCCATTTTGACCTTATCTTGTAAGATATTGGTCTAAACCTAGTTTCTGCCAGATTGCTTTCTAGTTTTCCTAACAATTTTTACCAAATAGTAAATTCTTATCCCCAAAGCTTAAATCTTTACATTTATCAAATACAAGGTTACTATAGTCATTTGCTACTGTGTATTGTTTATCTAGTCTATTCCATTGATCCACCATCATATTTCTTAGCCAGGACCAGATAATTTTGATAATTACAGCCTTATAATACAATTTAAGATCTGGTGCTGCTAGACTTCCTTCCTTTGCATTTTTCTTCATTAAATTTTTTGATAATCTTGACCTTTTGTTCTTCTAAATGAATTTTATTATTTTTTATAGATCAATAAAATAATTTTTTTGGTAAATTAACTGGGATGGCACTGAATAAGGAGATGAATTTAAGTAGAATTTTCATTATATTGGCTTGGCCCACTTGTGAACAATATTTCTCGAATTATTTAAACTGACTTTATTTGCATAAAAATGTTTTATAATTACCTTTATGTAAGTTCCTGAGTTTGTCTTGGCAGGTATGCTCTCAGATATTTCATATTGTCTATGGTTATTTTAAATGAAATCTCTCTTACTATGTCTTTCTGCAGGGCTTTGTTGGTGATATATAGAAATACTGATGGTTTATGTAGGTTTATTTAATATCCTATTACTTTGCTAAAATTATTGTTTTAACTAGCTTTTTAATTGAATCCCTAGGATTTTCCAAGTATACCATCCCATTGTCTGCAAAAAGAGGTAACTTTATTACCTCACTGCCCATTCTGATTCCTTCGATTTCTTTTTCTTCTCTTATTGCTATTGTTAGCATTTCTAGTACAATATTGAATAAAACTGGTTATAATGGGCATCCTTGCTTTACTCCTGATCTCACTGGGAAGGCTTCTAGCTTATCCTTATGCTTGCTGATGGTTTTAGCTAGTTTGCTTCTTATCATTTTAAGGAAAAAATCCATTTATACTTATGCATTCAAGTGTTTTTAATGTGTTGTATTTTGTCAAAAGATTTTTCTGCATCTATTGATATAATCATATGATTTTGGTTACTTTTGTTAATTGATATAATCAAGTATGTTAATCATTTTCCTTATATTGAACCAGCCCTGCATTCCCAGTATAAATCCCATTGGTCACAATGTATAATCTTTGTGATATATTGTTGTAATTTCCTAGCTAGTATTTTATTTAGGATTTTTGCATCCATGTTCATTAGTGAACTTAGTCTATAGTTTTCTTTCTCTGTTTTTGCTCTTCCTGGTTTAGGTATCAGCACCATATCTGTTTCATAAAAGGAGTTTGGTAGGACTCTTTCTTTGCCTATTATTCCAAATAATTTATTTAATATTGGAATTAGTTGATCTTTAAATGTTTGGTAGAATTCACCTGTAAATCCATCTGGTCATGATGTTTTTTTCTTAGGAAGCTCATTCATGGCCTGTTTAATTTCTTTTTCTAAAACAGGCTTATATTTAGATATTCTATTTTCTCTTCTGTTAATCTGGGCAGTCCATATTTTTATAAATATTCTTCTATTTCACTTAAATTGTTAAACTTATTAGCATATAATTGGGCAAAACAACGCCTAATAATTACTTTAATTTCACCTACCCTACTTTTCTAGCCTTCTCTCATACTTATACGTAAATGAAGTTCTAGACAATCTACACTACTCATTGTTCTTGATACACATGCTATTTTTCTGCTTTTGCTTAGGTTATTCCCCGTACCTAAAATGCTCCCTGTCACCCAACTGTTGTATTCCAAACTATCTTTTAAAGGTCATCTGAAATGCTACCTCCTCCAGGAATGACAGCAGCTGATACTTACACACCTTGTAGTGTTTTACATACATTACTACATTTGCTTTTCACAAGAACCTTGTGAGCTAAGTACTATGTGTCTCTGAAAGAATAAGTGAGGTCACTCAGGTTGTGTGTGAGTTAGCATTTAAAAACCAGGTATCTCCCACCTGCAAGTGCAGTATTCCTTCTACTACACCATGATGTCCTTCCTTGATTATTGCCTTTTCTCTAAGACCTCACATAGTACTATACATCTTTTTCATGTGTCTCTCTTATGCTAATTATTGGTATATGTCATAACTCTTCTCCCCAACTATTTAATAACCCAGAGAGGATAGACTAGCAGACTTAGCATATACCCCTGCATGCAGTAATAAATACACATTGAACCAAATCGTAAATAGATGACTAGATGAATTACATCATTTCAGCTTTTTATAGCTTTAGAGTAGGGGGTTCAGCTATATAATTTTTAATTATTCTATTAGAAAATGGTGTCAGCTAAAGCAACTTCACATGGATTATGCTCACATTATTGCATGAACATAATTATATTTTAACTGTTAAATACTGTATTTTCAGAGATATATGCAAAAATTTTACTTCAATTTTTATAATTGAACTACAAAATTTAGCCTCTTATTCAAATGAAGCTTCTTATAAAACATCATGCACAATGAAACTGGCTGGCCCTTTATTCAGAGGCTATCAGGAAAAAAAGTCTAGAATGACTTCCCCTTGGACTTTGTCTTCTGCTCATCAGTACAGAAAAAGACCCTTGTTGTGTTCAATTAAACTTACTGAACTGAAGGAAGGGACTGAAGTATAAAAAACACATTAAAAGAGAAGTAACATTCACTCATCATGGCTTGTGAATAGTTTGACTATGCAGGGCAGTTTCTCTGTTAGCCATGGCCCCCACAATCAAACCAAGAGCAGGACAAGGAGAGACTCTTATAACTTGATAAGGTGATCAAGCTGAAGAGGTGGAGCAGGAACATCTAAATGACATCAAAATGTCCAGTGGAGCCAACATAATGTGGGATCTATAGTGGCAGGCAGCTCATGGCATCAATACTTCATATTGCTCTTGTAGGCTTATAAATAACGATGTAGTCAGAAGCACTGTGTTATGTAGTGATGTAACTAAGGTAGAGAAAAAAAGCTTTATCTATGTACTGTAGCAAAGAGTCTTGAAGATTAGGCTGGTGATCAGGACCAAGCACCCATAATAAAAGGGATTTATTTGTCAACTTATTTGTAGTTTTGTTTTGCAGGTGACATTGCTTTTGATAAGTAAACAACTAATGCCTCAGTTTCATCTGGTATTGTGATAAAACACAGTTTCAACACCAGAAGGTGAAGCATTAGTTGTAAAAATCAAAACAAAACTCCAGTGCTTTATAATCACTACCATATACTAGCACAGGTTCTTTAGCCAAGAGCTGCTTGACATTCTGGAATAATGCTAATGAATCTATCATCTACTAGGAAAGTATTTAAGTGTTTCATCAATCTTAAATAATAAATTATACAATTTTTTTTGCCTTCTACTTCTAATTACTAAATGTTAAGACTGAAAAATGAGGCCAGGAAACTGGAAACAAAAAGTGAAGGCAGATTTTCATTACACTTAAGTATTGTTTTTAACTTTTCTGACTACATCAGATAGACTAGATCTTAAGAAATACAACTTCAAAAGAAAAATTCAAAATGCTTACAGAGAGAATCAGATCAGAAAGCTATCTGTCAAGTTATAGACCAGTGATTCAACATATTTAGTTCAATGTTCTTAAAATTCCAAATTCTTAGCTTCTTTTCTTCTCCCACCCCCAACATCTAAATAAAAACAGAAATGTACCCAAGAAATGACATGGCTCCCATCTCACCAACCTCCTGTGAACTCTACTGTAAACCAAAACAACTTCCTAATTTTGTTTTTCTAAAGAGTTTTTGGCTAAAGTTTCTTTTTCTCAAAATTCACAAATAAAAAATATGTGTCTCCTTTCTTCCTTACAGAAAGGGCAAGAAGAAGAGAGGAAGGAATTAAATAAAATCAACTCTTTTAAACAGAAAAAAATACAACATAGGTGGGAGATTGAAAGGTTAAGTGGGAGACCAAACTGGCCCTTCCAAAACAAAGGAGAGTACATGCAAATATACTGACATGCTCCTAATTCTAAAGAGGAAAGAAATATCAGCTGTCTTTATGTATGGAAATTTTGATATCTGTACTTTCATGTGTACACGGCATTTTAAAAAGCTGAGTTGCTAAAAAATTTGTCCCAGTGTTAGAAAACTTTCTAGAAAATTGAATGGCTGACAAGAGGTCACTGTTCAAGGCAATTAAATATTTCCGTTTTCTTCCACATATAAATAAAGGCTTAACCAGACTGGTGGGAAAGTTGTATTATACTTGAACATCCCTAAAAAAGGTATCCCATATGCCAAATGTCTCCTTTCTAAGTTCAAGAATATTTTCTTTAAGAAATGGATTTAACATATTAATAACTAAAACAAGGCAGAAGTATTTGGGGTTGGAAGGCAAAATTCAAAATAGAAGGATTTAAATCCCTAGACTAGCAACTCTACGCTAAGCCCAACCAAGAGAACTAGAAAGCACACAAAAGACAGAAATGGTCCATTTGAAATATCTGGAGTGCCAGAGACATCTAAAGTGAAGGTTGAAAATAGACTTTTAATACACCTCCCTCAGTTCTTTTTAGAGGTGGAGGACTAGAGGTGAAGATCAGAGTTTTTTCAAGGTTATTTGGTTAGCTTTGCTGAACTGCTTTGTTCCCTCTTTTTTATCATTTGTTATAGGGCTGGCTCTCTGTGGGAGGGAAGGACAAGATTAAACAGTGGGAAATCTAGGTGATGTAAAACAAAGATATTAATAAAAATTTATTAAAAAAATAAAATAGGCTTTTATGTCAGAAGTGTCAATGAGAAATGCTTGCTGAATTGAGCCCAATTCCACAGAAAGGCTAAGCACCAGGCCAGCAGGAGTAATGCCTGTTTTAAAGAAACAGCTCTTTATCCTTTCCCAACTGTCCAGCTGTCTCCTTAAGGAACTTGCAAAGACCACATATTTTCTCACCTATGGCACCAGAAAGGATAATGGGGTTTGGAGAACAGAGCTATTACAGATTCTTACAGTTCTTTCTGGCTTGGAGGCTCTTAAAAGTTTTTTTTTTTTTAACTTTTCCCAGACCTCCAAAAGTGGCAATGTTTTATCTCCTTCCCAAATGTGGAATGGTAATTTTCAAGTCACATAGGGCTGAAATGACTTACGGTTTTCTTGGTAGTAGCAGTTGAAAAAATAAAATAAAATAAATATTACTGGGTTGAGGAAGGGAAAAACAGCAACTCAAAAATGCCACCTTTTGTCTCTGTTGATCCTGGAGAAGTCATAGCTCAGGTTTCTATACAAATCCAGAAAACTCATTTTTCCCTTTTCTCAACTTGCTTGCTGCCACTTTGGGTTACAGGAAGAAGAGTTTCTCACACAACTGGATGGCTGGTTCATGATGTAAGACTTGTCCAGACAGGAAAGCTAGCTTGTGGGCATACTTGCAGGGAGCTGGGACTCTGATGGTGCCAGGCCAATTCCAGTACATGTGGCAAAGCTTGAATGTTAACCTGGAGGCCAAGAACAGAACAATGCACTCAGGACTACTTTGTGCTTAAAAACATCTATTTGTCCACGTGGGCATGCCAATTATCACACACCATCACATTGCCCGAGTTCTTCTTAGCAAACTAAAACCTCAGATGTGCTGAAAAGTTCTTGGAAGCCTTCCTAATTATTTCCCTACATGGAAGATGTTTCTGATATTACCATTAACTTAATCAAATGCCTTGGACAAATTAATTTACCTGTAGCTTACCAAATCACGGAAACTTTCTACCGAAAATGCGTAAATTCTTCCAGTCAGCCAAATTTAATGTTTTCAAAAAAAGACTACAATTATGCTAAGAAAATTAAGTATTTTTGTACTGTCCAAATTTAAACTATATTTTTACCCCTTGAAAATACTAGTTAAGGATTTCAAGGAACTCAATTGGCAATTGTTCCTGTGGTTGGCTGTATCTTAATTAGCTGAATCCAGACTTACCTCTAAAGCTACAATTCTCAAACTTTGAGGTCCCAGGACCCTTTTATGCTCTTAAAAATTAATGACAACCCCCAATCACCTTTTGTTATCTGTATTACATTTGCCAATATTTACAGTACTGGAAATTAAAATGTCTTAGTATTATTATGATAATAGTTTTGACCTTGTGGACCCCATGGAAAGTCTCCAATTCTCAAGCCCATATTTTGAGAACTACTGCCCTACAAGAAGAAAGGGCTCACCTCTGCATATGATCAGGGCTCAGGTTTGCAGTGTTGAGAACGCATACATAATGTGTAGGAATGCCACAGCCCTGCCGCACATGATGGGCAAGTAGGTAGAAATCCACCCTGGCAAGAAAAATGATCAAACTTGTGACATGGATTCTATTATAGAATCACAAAATCTCAAGAGTTGGAAGTATTTTATTCAATACCCAAGCAGGAATACTCTCCATACAACATCTCCCAAGAAGCTTGAAGACTTCTAAAAAATGAAGACCTCACTACATCTTCAGGCAGTCCCTGAAGACTTTTGTATAGCTCTATGTTTTTTTTTTCTTTTTGGTGAGGTAATCAGGGTTAAGTGACTTGCCTAGGGTCACATAGCTAGTAAGTGCCAAGTGTCTTAGGCCAGATTTGAACTCAGGTCCTCCTGACTCCAAGGCCAGAATTCTATCTACTGTACCACCTGGCTGCCCTGGATAGCTCTATCTTTTATATTTGGAGCTAGAAGGGATTTGGAAATCTAGCTCAACCATCCCATTTTATTACAGATAAGAAAAAAAGAGAACCCTAGTTCAGTGTTATTTCCTGGAGAGCTGGTAGACATTGGCATCATCTCCATCTCCATTACAGAGGGAGGTCTGTGCCTGATGTTTTGTTAGCTTAGGTGAATCTCTTTACCTCTACCAGTTTCTTCCCTCAAGCACCATAGGCAGGAGGCAGAAGAAGAAAAAAAAAGTGTTTTCTATACACAGAGCCTCTAAGAACAACCCTTCCATCCTGAATCTAGAACAAAAGAATTTACAAAATTAAGTGTCCTCCAAAAGCTAATCTCCCATATTTCCCCAAAGACGAGCTGAAAGGCAGCTTACTCACCACTCCCTGCTTGTGATGGTGTGGTCCACTACAGTACCTGGGGAGGGAGTCACAAAATTATCTGTAGCAGCTGAATACAGGTTAGTGCTAATTTTTTTCTGTACCACAAACACCACCATCTTTGGTTGGTAGTTTTCAAAAGCTTCAAAGCACTTCTGTAACTGAGGGATCTCATAGCTAGTGACCGTCTTCAGCTGGCCATCTGATACTCCATCTCTGTACACCACAATTTTCTCCGGCAGGCAGTGGTTTACCTGAAGTGAAATCCCAAATAATACAAATTCTTTATTATCTCTGAGAACAGGGAACTCACCAGGCACAGTACTCATTGGCAAGAAAGATTCAAACTTGCATTTCTTGGGTATATGACATCAGATATATTTGACAGACAGGTCCAAATGGAGTCAGTTTTGCTGAAAAAAGTTCTTGTTAATTTCTATACTTCCACAGGATAATGAGAGGTCAGGAATATCAAAAAGAGCCATAAAACAGTACATAAAGAGAGGCAAACTTGAGTCAAACAGATTACAGGACCACAGATTTAGAGGTGGGAGGTTCCTGATTCAAATGTGTAGGAAAAGTTGAAAGATTGGTCAGAAAAATGATGGTTCCAATTCATCTGCCTTTCAACTTTCAGTTTGTATTAAACCTTCATAACAATAACAATAATATTAGCTAACATTTATATAATGCCTGCTGTGTACCAGGTACTATGCTAAAAACTTTGCAAGTATTTCATTTGTTCCTCACAACAACCCTGGGAGGGAGATGCTGTTATTATCCCCATTTTACAGATGATGAAACTGAGGCAAACAGAGGTTAAGGACTTGCTCAGGGTCATGCAGCTAGTAAATTTCTAATCCACATATAGAATAAAACAAAACTCTTCTTTGGCATAGGTATACCAAGTAAACTACCACTAGTAAAAAACAGTTTATGATGGGTCGGCTTCCCTAACCCATCTTTCCCTCAGATTATTAAGTGGAAAGCATACCCAAAGATGGAGACTCACAAGGTGATGAAATAAAGCTAAATAAAACATTCTTCTACTTGTCACCCTGAAATATTATGGATGTTTAATTATTTTTTTTAGCTTTTATTTAGTATTTTATTTTTCCTCAGTTACATGTAAATACAATTTTTAACATTTATTTTTAACTTTAGAGTTGCAATTCTCTCCCTTCCTCTCCCCCCCCCATATTGAGAAGGCAAGCAATTCCATATAGGTTATACATGTGCAGTCATGCAAAACATATTCATAATAGCCACGCTGTGAAAGAAAACACAGACAAGAAAAAAACTCAAGAAAAATAAATAAATTTTTAAAAAGTATGCTTCAATCTGTATTCAGACACCAACAGTTCCTTCTCGGTATGGATAGCATTTTTCATCGTACGTCCTTCAGAGTTGTCTTGGATCACTGTATTGTTGAGAATAGCTAAATCATTCATGGCTGATCGTCTTACAATATTGTCATTACTTTGTACACAGTACATTTCACTTTCCATCAGCTCATGCAAGTCTTTTCAGGTTTTTCTGAGAGCATCCTGCTCATCATTTCTTACAGTATAATAGTATTCCATCATAATCATATACCACAACTTGTTCAGCCATTCCCCAATTAATGGACATCCCTTCAACTTCTGATTCTTTAACCCCAAAAAAGAACTGCTATAAATATTTTTGTACATATAGGTCCTTTTCTTTTTTGTTTTTTTTTTATCTCTTTTGGAATACTGATGTTCAATTCTTTAAAATTGTAACTATACAACACACCAGAGCATAACTTGGAAAAAATGAAATGAAATAAAATAACTATCCACTTTGTTGAATGTTTTCAGGTTCTTATTTTAATAGTAAAATATTTAAAGTTCTTTTTCTGTATGAGCTAGTTCACTAGGTTTTTGTTGTGTATATGTGTCTTTTTTCAATAGTTTAGCTCACAATTAATTGGAAAAGATATTTTTGGTTCTTGTTCAGTGATGCTGAATTCAATGTTCACTATATTTCCTTATCATCTGAAGGTACATTTGGCCCAAACAGATAAAACTGGACAATTTCTGAACTTTATTCTGCATAATGCATTGCACACATTGTACCTAAATTGAAAGTATATATATATGCTTGAAATCAAAGGAACCTTGCAATGACTGCTTTTGCAATATAATTACCTAGATCATATTTCATACTTTTAAAAATATCTATAACATCATTTTCCTGAGAAACACAATATATTTAATTTACTATTACATAACTCATTTGCACATCCTGAGACAGGGGTATAATGGAAAGGGCATTGGTTTTGAAATCCAAAGATCTGGGTTCAAATCCTGACCCTGTCACTTACTACCTGTGAAACTGTGGACAAATTGTCAGACTTCTCTGGCTCTCAGAGTCATACATATGTAAAATAAGAGAGTTAGCTGAGATGATTTCAAAGTCCCTTCTGGTCTTGAGCCTATGATCTTGTTATTCTCCTTATGCCAGAGAGAGGGAAACAGAGGCACAAAGAAGTCATAACTTTCTTTGGTGAAAGTAAGAAATAGACCATTGAGTGATGTACTCTTGCTCCCTATTAAGATATCTCATTTGTTAGTTAGCAGCCTTTACTGGACACAATGTGTGATTTTTGCCTTTTAGATACTTTAGTTACAAAGGAAATGGAGGACATCATTCCTAACCTCAAAGATTTTATAATCTAAGGTGGAAATACAGACATGAAAAAGCAAATTTAAGTACAACTAATATATTACTGAATGCTACTCTACTTAAATATAAGGTACAAGTATAAGATAATGAGATATTGATTCTGTGAGCCCCAATGAAGTAATCTTCATTGCCCACTATCCTATGATGATCATATTCTGTAAATGAGAAAACCAGGGCACATGGTATGTGTGAGAAAGACTGTTCCTTTTTTTTTCTTTCTTAAAACAAGGAATACCCTGGAAAATCCAGGATGAACAGTCTTGCTTTCTTCACTGCTCCAGCCAGACTAATCACTCATCTCTCTACTTTACCAGATACTCAGCATTTAAGATTACAGAAGTATGACTAACTAGAAGATTGTGAACTTTAAAACCTATGTATCATTAGGAGTTTTAATTTTATTTGGGAGCCATTCAGTGACATGAGCAGCAGTAGAGAAGTGGGAAGAGCACTAGATTTGAAATGAGAGAACCTGAGTTCAAATCCTAAATTTGCTGTTTATGACCTGTGTGATGACTGCCAAGTCATAACCTTGCTGGGCCTGTTTCCTTCAACTGTAAAATGCGGATGCTGGGCTTAGTGATTAAATTTTAAAGTCCCTCCAGTTTTAAATCCTATGATAAAAATAGACATACTTCAATACTTGAAGGATCAGCATGGGTCCTCCCTCTAATACAGATCATAGCCCCTCTTTGCCTTAGTGGATGATCTTCATGAGTGGTACAGAACAAAAAATTCATCACTCTGTCGCCAAACTTCAGGGGATGCCTCTTTCCTCTGACCCCCCTCGATAACAGGTCTATAGGCTATCCCAGACTAATAACCAAAGGTTTTCCGGTTTGGTCAGACCTCAAATAAATTGTATTCTGAGGTAATAGAGTCAAACTTTAGTGGAGACATCAAAATATATTTAAGTAAAATGATCCTTCCTGCTATACACAGCACAGAATGGAGGCCAAAAGGTTGGAGGCAGGTGGATTTGGCAAATGGAAGGAATCACTGAGTTCAGAAAAGATTTTTTAATCTAGGTTTATTCTAGTTCAACAATTTTAGAAATATATTTTAAATTTCCATATGACATGATGGCAAAATAGGATTTTTCTCCCCCAAGTTTTGGTTTGGTTCCACACTGAAAAACCACCACTGAAAAACTATTGTTTGGCCTTGTTTTGAGACTCAGCTAAATAGCAGGTTCATTCTGAATTTAGTACATGGTTGGACTCAGCTGCTGTCCTAGGCAGTAATTAAAGAGGTGGTTAGAAGCTGAAACTGGACTGTGACTCTGAGAACAGAAGAAAGAAGCAAAGCCAAGAAACAGAGGAAGACTTGTATCTGCAGCTACACTGTGGTCACATGATGTAATAGAAAGAGAATGGGACCTGCAGTTAGGAGCCCTGGGTTTATCTCTCTCTGCCTCTGTATGACATGAAACAAATCATTTGCCACCTTCCTTTTTTTTTTTTTTTTTTGCTTGTGAGGCAATTGAGGTTAAGTGACTTGCCCAGGGTCACACAGCAAGTGAGTATCATGTGTCTGAGGCCAGATTTGAACTCAGTTCCTCCTGATTCCAGGGCCAGTGCTTTATTCACTGCACTACCCAGCTGCCCCTACCACCTTCTTTATCTGTAAAATGAGATCCTTTTTAGCTCTAAAATGATAGCATGCTTAATAGGTTTCTTTATAGAAAGAAAGCATACTACAGATCATTAACTTCTACTATTAGAATGATATTAAAATTTGTTTGCAGGGAGGTACAGTAGAAAACTTCTTTATATGCATGAAAGGAACAATTCTAGGGACCAGATTTAGTCTTAAACAACAATTTTGATAGCTTACTTTTTCACAAGGGCTAAATCCATCCTTAAGAAGCCCAAGGTACATGGATAAAGGCTTACTTTGAATACCTCTATGACAAGCTGAGAACATTGTCTGCCCACTTCTCCAGCCCAGTATCAGCTTAATGGAAATTACGTGCTGATTCTCATGGCTCAGTATACTTTGGATATCTGAATTGGGGTGGAGGGGTAATTATATATTTGTCTTATGAAAAGATGAGAGGATTCAGCTGGCAAAGACTTACTCATAAAAGTCAGGTAAATTTGTATGCCATACTAATTATTTAAATTAAGTCTCTGATAACAGCAGTGGTATAGGGGCATAAGGTTGAAAACATGGAAAGCAATAATGCCAAACTGCAACCTTATTCCCCTTGGTTTGATACACACCATCACAGGTTGAAACTTTCTTGTTCAATTGTTGAACTTAGGACTGTTGGACTTTGAACCTGCTTAATAAGTCCAATAAATATGATTTGGGTTTACTTCTACTAAATCATATTTCCTGTCAATTTACAGAGATCAAGTAGGAAGAGATCCTGAAATTACAAAAGTCTGGCTTTCCTTACCTCGTAATACTTCTTTAAGGAACCCACCAGGCACAGTTTTAGGCTGTCCACAATCTCCTGATGAGGCATCTGGAACACCACTCGGGAATACCATTTGGTGAGAGAGCTGGTAAAGGAAAGACAGAGAAGAGAAAATACATCAATAGAAGTTTGAATCTCAGATACTAAAAGGAAGGTTTGGCAATTAACCAATCAACATTTATTATGTAACAGGCTCTATGGGGGAGACAAAAAAAAATTCTTGGTTCTTATTTCCAAAGATTTTGCCATCAAATTTGAGAAACTCACTTTAATTCAACTGATATTTATTAATCTCCTACTATGTGCAGTGCTAGGTAATGAGGATACAATGCTCCCTATTACCTTTATGATCAAATAGAAACTTCTCTGGTATTTAAAGCCCTTGACAGCCTAGTCCCCCCTTACCTTTCCAGCCCACTTATACCTCACAGTACACCCATATTGGCCTTCCTGATGTTCCTCCATACTACCTAGATTCCATTTCATCCTTCCCCATCTTTTTCACTGGGATTCCCCTACCTTGAATATGCTGTGCCCTTACCTACCTTTCAGAAGCAATCATTTCCTTCAAAACTCAACTCAAGTTCCTTCTACAGCTCCCCTTTGGTCTAGATTCCTCCTCTCAATATTCCTCTACAGGCTTCAGACAGGGATAAAAGTTGGAGCTGAGACCCTATTCCACTCCAAGGTTCAGTGCCACATTGCTCCTATTTGCTTATGAACTTGTTCCTTGCTCAGTGCAAAGTACATGGCCCACAACTGCTGCCCACTCAGGAATGCCACTCTTGGGTGCAGATTGTTTCTCCAGTCTGCCTTCCATCTGTGACCAAGAACTGAAGAGTAAGTAATAAACTAACAGTTGGGCACTTGTTCTTGCACCCTGTGTGCAGTTCCAGTGCCCCACAGGGGTCTGGGATCTGGTCTTGCCCTCTGCACAGCCTCCATCCTCTTTAAGTCTCTGGGCTCCAGAATGGTCTGGTATAGTGTACTCCTGGCCAGACTCCATTCCTAGGATCCACAGACCTCCTCTGTCTCCTTATGCTGATGCAGGCTGAAAAAATGGTTCACTGTGACTTTTTCTTTAGTTTCTCCATTAGGATTTGGTCTGGTGCATTTTTTTTATCTGTTTGGAAGAGTTTTGTTGGGGACAGCATGCTATATTTCTCACCTCTATTCTGCCATCTTGACTCTGACTAGTGGAGAGTCTTTAACAGCAGGCAATTTAATTTGGTTTTTGTTTGGTGCCGTGTGTGTGTGTGTGTGTGCACGCACGCACACATGTATACATATATAATGTGATGTGATCAGACCTGTATGTGAAGGATGGAACTAAAATGGAGAGGGAGGGGAGGAGAAAAGGGAGACTGAAAGTAGGGAAACTAGTTAGGAATCTACTAAAATAGTCTAAGTGAAAGGTAATGAGGTCCTGAATTAGCATTACTATACCAAGCACTGTGTTAATATAGTGCTTGGTACATAGTAGGTGCTTAATAAATGCTTGCTGATTGATTAGAGAGGCAGTAACCCAGCTGAACTCACCCAACAATCCCTTCCTAACAACTTTAAAATAACCCTTTAAATCAAATTCTGGGGTAGCAGAGCCAACAAAAGGTCAATACAACTTATGAAGTCAGCAGGAGAGGTCTGTAATAAAAGAGTAAGGGCTAGCTCAGAGTGCACCTCCTGGCAGCAGCTGCTCTGGGAGCTCTTGGCCTCGAGATGGTAAAGGGATTGGACAACTGGTCAGAAAGAGACCTTTCATAAGGGACTCTTGAGCTGACACACTGTAGGACCAGGTGCTGTTTGGCAACTTCGCTGCCCATCCTCAGTTTTGGGTCAAAATTCCTGGGCAGAGAGGACCACTCGTAGTCAGTCACAAGGAAGCAGTAGCCTTGGTCACAGTTCCAAGGCAGGGAGGAGCCATAGCACTTGCAGCTGCAGGGGAGCAGGGTAAAGACCATAATGAAGACCAGGAAAGCAGTGACCAAACCTCTCTCTGGATCATACCATCTTGGAAGCAACAAAAACTTGCAGACTTCCAGAACTAACTCTGAAAACAGCATCACAAAAAAAGCCCAACTTTAACATAAAGTTCAAAGTGCAAGAAATAGGCTAGAAAATGAGCAAAAAACCCCCTAAACAAACAAACAACAAAACACCTGATCATAAAAAGCTACTACGGAGGCAGGGAAGATCAAGACACAAACCAAGAAGAAAACACTGTGAAAATAGCTGCAAGCAAAGCCTCAAAGAAAAATGCAAATTGTATTGAAGTCCAACAAGAATTCCTGAAGTGATAAGTGTGGTAGAGTAAAAATGGGAAAGAAATGAGAGTGATGCAAGAAAAGTATGAAAAAGAGAATTAATGGCTTGGTAAAAGAGGCACAAAAAATACTGAAAAAATAACATCTTAAAAAACAGAATTAGGGGCAGCTAGGTGGCACTGTAGATACAGTACTGGCCCTGAAATCAGGAGGACCTGAGTTCAAATCCGGCCTCAGACCAAATACTTGACACTTACTAGCTGTGTGACCCTGGGCAAGTCACTTAACCCCAATTGCATAAAACAAAACAAAACAAAACAACACAGAATTAGCCAAATGGTAAAAGAGGCACAAAATTCACTGAAAAGAAGGACTCCTTAAAAAGCAGAACTGGACAAATGGACATTTCTCGTCCATGAAAAATGAAAAATGAAACAATGAAAAAAATAGAAGAAAATGTGAAAAACCTTACTGGAAAAATAACTGACCTGGAAAAGAGGTCAAGGAGGGTTAATTTAAGAATTAGTGAAAGCCATCAACAGAAAAAGAATGTAAACATCATATTTTTAAAAATTATAAAGGAAAAATGCACTTAGATCCAGAGGGCAAAATAGAAACTGAAAGAATCTACTGATCACTTCCTGAAAAAGATCCCAAAATGAAAATCCTAAGGAATATCACAGCTAAATTTCAGAGCTCCCAGATCAAGGATTGTACCTATTGTATGAGGGAAACAAAGAGGAATAAAAGAAAACTTAGACGATATTATCATGTTACCCCCTAGGCATAACCAGATTACTGACTTCTAATATTTGAAGTGATGCTATTTGGAAGAAAGACTAAACTCAACCTGTATATGCAGCCATCAAGCACTTGAAAGAAATTATAAGAACAATTTTAGCTTAATACAAGAATTTTATATGGAGTGGTACAAAAATGGATAGGCTGACTCATTAGGTAATAAGTTTTCCCCTTTCTAGAAATCTAAAAGCAGAAGCTGGATAACTACTTTTCAGGAATGTTAAGTGAGATGGGGGACAGATTTTGAATGACATAGGTTAAATTAGGTAACCTTTAAGGTCCCATTTAATTTCAAGATTTTATTAAGTCATATACCTCCACAATCCTCTAATCAGTGTTTCAAGGCCCTTATCTTTGACTATTTAAAGAATAGTTTCATTTGGAAGTAATACTTTTACCTCAAACTCAATTTATCTTTTTTTTTTATTCTTCTTTAGAAAACTGACTTCCACCACATCACACCTATCAGACTGGCCAACATGACAAAACAAGTAAATGATAAATGTTGGAGAAGATGTGGGAAAAATGGAACACTAAAGCATTATTGGTGGGGTTGTGAAATGATCCAACCATTTTGGAGAGCAATTTGGAACTATGATCAAAGAGCCATAAAAATGTGTGTACCCTTTGACCTAGCAATAGCACTTCTAGGGCTGTATCCCAAAGAGATCATAAAAATGGGAAAAGGACCCACATGTACAAAAATATTTATAGCAATTCTTTTTGTGGTGGCAAAGAATTGGAAATTGAAGGGATGCCCATCAATTGGGGAATGGCTGAACCAGTTGTGGTATATGAATGTAATGAAATACTATTGAAATGATGAGTAGGTGGACTTCAGAAAAACCTGGAAAGACTTGTATGGACTGATGCTGAGTGAAGTGAGCAGAACCAGGAGAACATTGTACATAGTAACAGCCACATTGTGCGATGATTAACTTTGATAGACTTAGCCCTTCTCAGCAATGAAATGATTTAAGACATCTCCAAAGGCCTCAGGATGGAAAATGCTATCCACATCCAAAGAAAGAACTAGGGAGTTTGAATGCAGATCAAAGCATACTATTTGCTCTTTTTTTCTTCTGTTTTGTCTTGTTTCCTCTTTCTGGTGGTTCCTCCTATTGGTTCTAATTCTTCCTTACAACATGACTAATGTGAAAATGTTTAACAGGAATGTATATGTGTAGCCTATATCAGATTGTGCACCATCTTGGGGAAGGTGGTGGAGAGGGAGGGGAAGAAAAATTTAAAACTCAAAAGCTTATGGATGTGACTGTTGATAAATCAAAATAAATTAATAAAAAAATTTTTAAAAAAACTGACTTCCTGTCTAGACCCCTCATCTGCCAGTTAGCAACAGTGCTCTCTGTACAGAACAAAAACAATTAACAAGAAGAAAAGCAAAGCAAAAGAACAGCTCAGGCTATAAAGTACTCTGCATTCCTCATCTCAAACCCTCATGAGGCTGGGAGGGAGAGCTCATTGCACTGGATGAAATGGCCTCACCAGGACAGGATGATCTAAATAATGATAGCTTGCATGCGCAGATCACATGAAGGTGTACGAAATGCTTCACATATGTTATCCTGTGTGATCCTCACAACAACCTCGGTCTGGCAGACAGTATCATTATCCCCATTTTGCAATTTAGGAAACAGGTCGAAAGAAGTAAAAGAACTTCCCAGGATCAGAGCTGCTGCTCAGTGAGTGTCTTAGGCAAGACTCCAAATTCAGCACTCTATCTACTTCACCAGTTAGCAGCCACTTAGACTGAATCTAATAAAATGAAATGTAAAGTTCTACATTTAGGTTACATATCACCTTCTCTAGTACAAGATATAGAAGGCTTGGCAGTTCATGTGAAAAAGGTCTGAGGGCTTCAGTGGCCTGAAAGAACAGTATGAATCAACAGTGTGAAATGACAATTAAAAAAAATGCTTTCCTAGGTTGCATTAATAAAGCATACCTTCTGGGATTAAGAGTTAATTGCCAGGGGCAACTAAGTGGCACAGTGGATACAGCACCGGCCCTGAAGTCAGGAGAACCTGAGTTCAAATCCGGTCTCAGACCAAACACTTGACACTTACTAGCTATGTGACCCTGGGCAAGTCACTTAACCCCAATTGCCCAAAAAAAAAAAAAAAAAAAAAAAAGAGTTAATTGCCCTTCTTTTTCTGCCCTGGGTAGAATACCTCCGGATTATGCTTGGATTTGGAAGTCACATTTTAGGAAGCACACTGACAAGGTAGGCTGTGTCTTAAAGAGGGTGACTAGGATGGTAAGTGGAATGGAGATCATGCCCCAGCTTAAGAAGCTAAGAATATTTAACTTAGAGAAGATTTATAGGAGAATGATATACATCTTCAAGAATCTGAAAGGTTTTCATGGAAAATATGAATAAGACCTGTTTTGCATGGGTCCAGAAAGCAGAACTAGGAACACTGAGTGGAAAGATGCATAAGAGAGATTTAGGTTTAATGTAGAGAAAAAATTCCTAGCAACTGGAATCCCAAAGTAGAATGCAGTTAGTAGGTGGTGTGTTTATTCCTGTCTCTCAACAACTTCAAAGAAGATTATTACCCACCTGACTTTTATTTCCTATACAAAGAAACAGATCCCTTAGGACAATAGCTAATGCTAATGACAATACAAACACTCAACTGGATGACCACTTACTAGAGGTATTTGTAGAGGATTTCACTGGCCAGGTATGGGTTGGACACTAAATGGTCTCTGATGTCCCTAACTCAGGAATACTGTGATTCTCAGAAACATCAAAACTTGAGTCATTTTTATATTCTTCAGGCTTATAGTAAATATTTGTTAAAATTAATATTTCTTATCTTATATTGAGATTATTGAGACTGTTATTAAATTTCATGAATTCTTCCTTCAAGATTTCTTTTGAATCTGTCTCTTCTCCATTCCCAATGGCAATACCTTACCCCAGACTCACACTACTTCAACAGCTGATTTTTACAATAGCCCCCTACATGCTGTAAAAGATGAACCCTTATAGGTCCTTCTGACTAATCTCTTCCTAGTTAATCTAATTTCCCTATTTCTATACCACAGTTGGGCTTCCCTAAATATTGCTCCCAGAATATAATTCTATTCCTCTACTTCAAAGCCTAACATTGTAACGTACTGTTTACCACCTCAACTTTAAACTCCCCTGACTGGCTTTCAAGGTTCTACAAAATCAGCCTTCACTCTACTCACCTAATTTTCATCCATTCTCCCACAAAACAAACTATCTACTCCAATCGTGAACATCTCATGGGGCCATAGGTTTAGAGATAGAAGGGAATTTTGGTGTCAACTAGTCCCACCCTCTCACTTTACATATAGATCCAAAGCCACAGAGGCAACAGTTAGATTCAAATTCAAGTTCTCAGACTCTATTCCAAAGCTACTTTTACCACATCATGCTACCTCTTCACTGTTTCTGGAATGTATCATGCTGATTTCCACATCTTCACCTCTGCTTCAGATTATTCCCCTAGCCTGAAATGTCCTTACTTATTCTCCAGGGGCCATTTCACAGACTACTTCTTCTGTGACTGAATATTACTGTCCAGAGAGATCTCACCCTTTTCTGAGTTACAGGACTCACCCATTAATTATATAATGTCTTATATGTTCTCATAATAATTTGTTCATATGTATTGGTCTTGGCTCCTCAAATAAACTGAGTACCAGGCATATCACCGTGTCCATATAATAGCTGCCCATATAACACATAAACCAAAATAAGATGAAACATTAGAGGAAATAACTATAAGGAACACTTACAGACTGATGCTTGCAACAAAGCCAACCACAGAACGCATCCCCCTGCTGGGGTCATGGTAAACATCCATCCCGATCACCATCAGTTGTTTCTGGGAGAGAAAAAGCACAGCCTATCACTTCTTCACTTCATTTAATATCTGATCCCCAAAGCATCCCATCTTGCATCTTTTATATACTAAAGAGCTATTTTTAAAGCAAGAATGTGATAAAATATTACCTGCCTGACTTTTACACTTCCTATATAAAGAAATAGGTCACTCAGGTAAATGGCCAATGCTAATGACAAACAGTAGAAGTAAGAAAGCTAAGAAGATACCCGAAGACTATTAAAACAACTATTTTGGACCCTTAAAGAGACTAACATGAATGGGTACAAGTATCTCATTTTTATCCAGGAACTGGGTATCTAAGTTCCACTCACCAATGGAATGTCCACTCCCCAAAGTTCTCCACCTAATTTACAGTTAATCTGTAGCAAAATTTTTTGGGCTACACTCCATAGCTTGGTGGGCTGTGCAACAGTTCGGGCATTGATTACCTAGGACCAAAAGAAATTAAAAAAAAAAACCAGAACAACATCATTTTATACTAATCTGATCAGAAATCAATACAAAATAATGATTATTACTTTTATTCAAGACATTATAGTTGGCAGATGCCATTATCTTATCAACAACCTCAAGTTTGGGTTTTCAAAGGAAATAAACTTTCTTTCTTTCTTTTTTTTTTTTAATTTTTAGGCAATTGGGGTTAAGTGACTTGCCCAGGGTCACACAGCTAGTAAGTGTCAAGTATTTGGTCTGAGGCCAGAAATAAACTTTCAAAAGGATCTCCTGCAAAATGAGAAAATACTTCTGAGCAAAGCTGATGGAAAAAAACCACTTTTCTTTTTTAAAGCAAAGTCCACATTCTCAAGAATCAGCCTTGTAAAACCAATCAGAGGCTTATCTTCTCAAGAGGCAAAATTACTAACTAAATCTTGGCAAAATTGAGCATTCATGAAGGGATATATGCTGCTCATCTGGACCCCTCTAATCAGGGGAACAGTAATCAGGGCCAGTATACAATCTGAGTTCTGATCATACTCCACAAAATATTTTTTTCTCCATCTCCTCAACATCCCCAAGAAACCTGGGGGGTTGAGCTTCTTGATTCTCCCACACTAAACCCCAGCTCACTTGTGAGGGCACTGGAGACTGCACACAGCACAGCTTCTTGATGGCCCCATACAGATCATCTCGTGTCCCTGTGATGATGCAAACCACCATCTGAACTTTTCCCTTTGGAAGACAAAACAGACATGTCACAATTCTGCACTGGAAGGCCAGGGCCTTTCTTGGGACCTTTATTTGGGGCATTTACTGCTTTTTAACACAAAAGAGCCCTTAACAGTGAGGAATAAATCGAGTATCTCAGGTTCTGAGTTTCTTAAATATGGACTAATATTGGATCATCTCAGAGATTCTCCAGGATGAGAAGATGAAGGCTTTTTTTGTTTGTTTGTTGTTCATCTCTGCGGGCAGGTGTCTATGAAAATTCAGACTGGCCAAGAAATATTTTGAAGGCCCTACTTAGAAGGCCATTGTAATAGTTGTAGTGAGTGACAGAGTGGTGCTGAAGGCACTCAAATCTCAGCAACACTTGTCAAGAATTAAAATGGGAATCTTAGCAGAACTGCCTTAGTCTCTCAGAATTTACAAGGATAAATTTTCTGGAGCTGGTGATGCTGGGAGCAGATCTTTGAGGGAGTGAATTCATCAATTTATACTTGAAATGTCTGAATGGTCACTTTGGGTCTTTAAGGATCAAACCAAAGAGTAATATGAAATATCTTTTACCACTTTCCTCAAGTAAGGGCCAGAAATCTGGAGTAGTGTGTTTATATGCCTGCAAGCTAAGAATGGTTTTTACATTTTAAAATATAACAAAACTTTATTTAAAAATATAAAAACCATTCTTACCTGGGACCTTTCAACCCCTGATCTAGAGCTCACAAATCACAATGCAGCCTGTAAAGAAATATGGTATGGCCTCTTATGAACATAATCCTAAGGGCCCCATTGCGGGAAGAGGGGGTGAGGAAAGGCTAGGAAAATGGCTAGTAGAGATTCTCAGGAAGACTTAATTCAAATAGGTACATACATGTGTCTCAGCTCCATTCACCAGTGGAATATCCGCTCCCCAGATTGACTTCAATAGCCATTTCTAAAATATGTAAGTGCCTCTTTCCAAATTCCAGATTTCAAGAGAAACTCCACAAGTACCCTCATCCTTAATTTTGTTGAGAAAGGGAATAGTTTTTTTTTCTATCAGAATCCCCTAACACTTAAAACTATAGAGTAAGGTATCTGCACCTACAAAAAAGTAAAATGATTCCTTAACAAATAACTACTACTAATAGAGGTGAGGGAAGGAAGTTATTTCTCAGGGAATAAATGTCTCCACGCTATATCAAAATACTTCTCTAGTTATGCAGACAGAAAATAAAGCAGAATTAGAATCTGCTTGCCCTAAGGGATGGTAGAAAGACCAACATGGCCATTGTGAAGTAAGTTAAATAAAGCTTGTGCTAGGTAAAGTTGTTCTCCAGCTAGCATGGGTGTTTTTTAATGTTCTCTCTTCAAAGAGAGAACATTAAATGGGTACTATAGATGAGAGACCAGGAGTACCACACCACGGAGTAAATTCTGATACTGTCAAGAATACCCTAACAATATTCTTAGGGCTCAGCACAACACTCTTCACAGAGTAGGCACTTAAAAATTTGTTATATTGTAACAAACTATTCCCTTTATAATCTATTTCACTAAGAAGACTGAAGCCATGTGATGTGGGTCCCCTCAGCTTTCCTCCATTTGTCAAACCATCTTAGTATCTTTACTCCATTCTCCTCTCACCTAACAAAACAGATAATGGTGCTATTTTGCATTAAGGCTAATTATTCTAACAATACCCCTGATTCCTTTCCCTCTAAAGCCTAATTCTAGCAATATTCCATCTCCTGCATACATCTTCAACCTTCCCCTCCTCACTAGCTCCTCATCTCCTTACCATGATTCTTGGGTTTTCCTAATCCTAAAAAAAAAAAACCTTCCCTTCACGCGCCTACCATTCATCTCCTTCTTCCCCTTCACTGCTAAATTTCTTGAAACAATTCTTACCCTTGAGGCCTCCTTCTTGTCTCTTCATGTACCTGTAACCAGGTCTCCATCTCCCCATTCAGACTCATAGAGTGTCACTGAGCTAGTTCAGGGTAGAACTTAAACCTGGCCTCCTAACTCCATGCTTTTCCTTCTCTGCATAGGGCACCTCATGGGTCAAAGACTACCCAGACCGACCATGTCTCCCGTAATCATTCCACCCTGAACGCAGGTTTGCCCTCGCCATCTCCTCTTCCTCCTTATCTTCTCTCTCATCTGTAGGTCAAGTTATGACCTTTATCTTGAGCTCTGGGCACTGTTCGCGCACTGCCTACAAGGCAGCCACTTGAATCCAACCTATCCAAAATCAGCTGTTTCTTACCCATTTCTCATGAACAGCCAGATGCCAATCCCTGTCTAATTCTGTGAACTGCCTCACCATTCATCTGCTCGCTTCAGGTGACAATACCACAGTAGAGGTTCTCCCTGTTACTCTTCTCCATTATTGCACAACATCTTCTTAGCAAGTTTTCCTGGCTCCACGGTCTTCTCCCTGCAATCCATCCTTCCAGTTTCCAGAGCAATCCTCCTGAAGCACAGATCTCTTCAGGACACTCCTCTGTTCAAAAGTTTTTGCAAATCCCTACAGCTTCCTGAATAAAGTTCAAACTCCTTTGCCTGCCATTCAAGGCCCCTCAATCTAGTGCCCCTCTAAATCCCCAGCCTCATCCTATGTTGCCCCTGTGACTCTACATGCCACCCAAAGTGTACTATTCTCTGCCATTCTTCTGTAAATTTAATTCTATTTTATTTTCATGAAGATCTGCCTTCTTTTCCTCTCATCTTCTACCTAATCCCACTGGGAAAAAAAAAAAAGAAAAACAAAACCCCTATTATAAACATATATAGTCGATCAAAACAAATTCCTGCATTGGCTATGTCCCCCCCCCCCCAAAAAGATATCAATCTGTATTGTGAGTCTATCACCTCATCTCAGAAAGGGGTAGCATGAAAAACCTTGTTTTCATACTTCCATGCCTCTGTCACACTGCCTTTGCATCAAGGTAATCAACTTTTATCACTGCCCTCATCAGACTTAAATCCACTTCTCAAAACCTGCTGCTTTCTCTCCTTTCCCTTGAGCTGGTTCATCGACTATTTAACCAGTCAAAAGAGTTGTGTGTGCCATGACCTGCTCAACTAAAAAAGTTATTTACGGCTAACTAATCAGGGTACTTGTCTGATGGGCCAGTCTAGACTGGCACAATATGAATCCTGACCCAGGGGCAGGCTGTAACAGCTAAGCAATGAACATCACAAGATGACTCCTGGAACCAACAGCTCTGTTCTCAGGGAACTGAAGGGATTCAGACAACAAGTGGTTAATTGTCAGAATTGAGTGAACCACACTGAGTCTATCTTGTGACTCAATTCTGGAGCTTGCTCAGTTCCCTTTCTATTCAATTATGGGTCTAGTCCAAATTCTGTTTTGTGAGAAAAGTTTATTCAATTGTGGAAACTAGAAGAAAACCTTATTATATTGTTTGAACCTAGCCCTGCATGGCTAGGAAGCTAGACCACCTCTGCCTACTGTTTAGAGGCCCTTAACCAAGGACCTAGGCCATGCTGAAAAGAAACCCTGTCACACCCAAAGTCTGATGCCAGGAGTTTTCTCACAATTGTGTATCTCAAGAAACCCATATGTCTTATCTGAAAACTGGTCCTGAACTGATCAATCAGTTATTGTCTCCACGTTCCTTTTTTTACAGACACTTGGGGGACCTCTTTTTCTGAATTCAGGGAATTGCCTGTTTGCTCTCCCCCTCCCAAAAAGCAAGTCCCTAATCTTTCATCCCATTAGAAATCAGATTACCGAATGTTTTACTGTTTCTTTCTAATTAGCCTTATTTGATTGTTTTTAATGTATAAAAATCTGTCTCTCATGGTATTCAAGGTCCAGCCATAAGATGAAGAAGGGACCCAGTCCTGATTTGTTAGGTGATTGGCATACATTGCTTAGTAAATCGATATGCTCAGAAAAGCAAACCTTTGTTTCCTCCATCATTTCATCTTTCACTCACCACAATTCTTAGCACACCAATCTCTCAGATAATAAATAGAAGCCAAATCAGGTGCTCTCTCTTGGACACTAAATTATAACACCTGAAGCTAAGGTCCCTAAGGAAGAAAGACTGCAGTAGTGTTAAGGAATAAGAAAGATGACAACAGCTAAAAGCCAAAAAGGCCAACTATATTTGCATGTATATAATATTTCAAGTAGACATGAGCAAGAAAATTCTCATGCATTACCAACTGAAGGCTAATAAAAGCAAGAAACTTTAGAACAGATGACTATCACGAATACAATTTTAAAAGAGATATAACTCCAACTTATTTACCTCAACTCCCAGCATGGATTTAATGGTTCTAATGTAGGTCTCTATCCGGTCATCCTTTAGTTCAATCCAGGCAGGTGGGCTCATTTGCATACCAATGGGGCCAGCTATCTTCTCCAACATACCAACCAACTCTCGGGCTTGGTCAACAGCTCTCTTTGGGTAAAACAGTGCCCAGAAATGCATAGGAACCTGGGGACAGCCACAAATGTTTAAGTATAGCATAAGTCTGCAAAACAGGTCTTGAGCAAAGACTAGAAAAGACTCTTAAACAGTCCAAAGTGACTGTCTGCAGGCCATTTTCAGGTTTATAATTTGTCCACTGAGTATATATTCCTTGCTCCTGTACTTAGGTCCTGCCTTACCTAACTTCTACCACAGAATCGCTTGTACTCTATCAGAGACAGAGCTATTAAGGCCAGGTAGCTAACAAAGCACTGAGCATATCTTCCCTGCTGTCTTCCCCGACAGACTGCACTTTAATATGGTAGTTAACTCTGGATTCTAGTGGATCCTTTTTTATATCCTTGGGGAAAAAAAGTGTAAAAGAGGGCAATGGACTCCCTTGTCAGCCATAAATACAATTCACTCACTGTCCTTCAGCCAGACCAACAAAAATTCAACATGATCAGTGAGAGTACTGCTTCTGCTGCCTTACCAGCCAGTGAGTTAGCACAGGAGGTGAGTCCTTTGGGATGGGAATTCAGAATCCACAATTTACCATTTGTCTGGCAGTCTCTTTACAAAAATGACAACGAAATATTCTTGCTTTGCCTTTCAGAGCCTCAGGAATGCTAACATTCTATTTGTCAGTTCAACAAATTACTTACTGTCAAAATGGAAGCTTCTCGGGTTACTTCCTTAGTCCAGTTTAAGTCCTGAGATGTGATGAATGAACTATTTCTCAAGTTTATTCTTTCCATCGGTAGAACACGCCCTGAAATCTAAATAAAAAATAATAATTCTGAGGAACAAAGGACCCTAAATCACTTATATGTAAGTTTGACACTGCCCAATAGAGTTGTAGGCAGATCAATTACAGTGTACTGATCCCATTATGGGTTCTGAGACTGGCAATTTCAGGATAAACACAGTCACTGAGTCAGAAGAAATAAGGAAACTGTTAAGGAATGTGTTAACGCTGACCTGGGCATGTAATCACCTTCCAAATGGAGGTGAAATTTCTAGGGAATCCCCCCTACCCCACACTTCCAACAATGCCCCCAAGAGACATCCTTACTGCTGCCAGAATAATCTTTCTTCATGCCACCCCTCTGTTCAAAAGCTTCTGGAACTCCCTAGAGCCTCCTGAGTGAAGTTCAAATGCCTTTGCCTGGTATTCAAGGCCCCCCAACCTGTGCCACCCTAACTTCCCAGCCTTGTCTCATGCTGCCCCCACCACACATCCTACATTCCAAAATGAACTATTCTCTGCCATCCAAAGAAACACTACTTTCCAACCCCCTTTCTTTTGCTCACATTGCCTTCTATGCTTTGAATGCCTTTCCTTCTCCTCTTCACCTGAATTCCTATGCAATGTTTGTAGCCTCTCACATGATACTTCTTCCATGAAATTTTATCTGATCCCTAACTCAGTTAACAACCTTTCTCCTTCAGACCTGATGAACATTTTATTTTTCAAGTTATGTGATAATATGAAAAGTATTACATACTATGTATTATAGCCACCTAAGAGAAAAGAAATCTTTTTAATTAGAACCTACTGGTGCTTTATATGAATATAACAACTGGATTCCAAAGGGTTTCTTCAAGGTAAAGAGATGACTAACAAAGAATAAATACTGGAATGAAAGAAAAAGCAAAGGAGAAAAAGAATATGTTTCATAGGGCAATATTTTATGAAGCTAAAGGCTAATGTTAAACAAAGGTCACTCTAAGTACTAGAATAAAAACAGCTAATGTTATAAGAGGCAAAAACTAAAAAGAGTAGATACACGCTAAGAACAAAAGGGATACAGAAAGACGGGAAGGAAGAGCTCTTGGACTAGAATGGAATATACCCAACAAGGTCCATAAAAATAAATTTGCCTAAACTCTTATGAATTAGATCAAGATTTTTTTTAAATATTAAGATGTATATGAAAATCTAGGGACTCAAGGAAAAACACACAGTGAAGAACATTTGATCATCTGAATGGATTCCACAGGGTCACGAATTTAAAGCTCGAAGTGACCTAATATGCCCTCTGGTCCAAACTCTCATTTTACCAATGAAAAAACTGGAGCCCAGAGAAATTAAATCAGTCAACAAGCATTTAATAACAAGCATTTACTACATGCCAGCCATTGTGCTAAGTAATAGAGACACACAAAAAAGGGCAAAATCAGTCCCTGTCCTTAAAGAACTCCCATGCTAATGGGGGAGACAGTATGCTACAACTATGTACAACCAAAATACATCTAGTATAAATGGAAAGGATTCTCCAAGGGAAGACACTAGCAGTGGAGGAAACCAGGAAAAGCCTCTTGCAGAAGTTGGGATTTAGCTGGGACTTGAAGCCAGAGAAGCCAGGAAGTGGAGATGAGGAGGAAGAACATTCCATGCATGGAGGGCAGCCAGGGAAAAAGCCCAAGTTAGGAGATGAGATGGGGGTTCAAGGAATGGCAAAAAGGTGGTACAGTTAAATCACAGAGTTATTACAAGGGGAATAAAGTATAAAAAGACTGGAAAAGCTAAGGAAGGGTTTTAAAAGCAGGAGGATTTTATATTTGATCCTCAAGGTAATAGGGAGCCACTGGACTTTACTGAGTAGCAGAGTGACATGGTCAGCACCTGTGCTTTAGCAAAATTACTTTGGCAGCTAAGTGGAAAATGGATTGGAGCGGGCACAGATTTGAGGCAGGGAGACCAAACAGCAGAGTATTGCAACAGTCCAGGCATGAGCTGATAAGGAACTGTACTAAGACGGCAACTATGTGAAGAGAAAGAAGGGATCTATATGAGAGATGCTGTGAAGGTAGAAACATCAAATGTTGAACATGACACCTAGACTGTAAGTCTGGGTGACTGGGAGGATGGTGGTACACTCAACAGTAACAGAGTAGTTTAGAAGACAGGAGGATTTTAACAGGAAAGATAATGTTACAGATGTGTTGAGATTGAGAGATACATAGTAAGTAACTGAAGATTTGAACTCAGCTCTTCTGACTTCAAAGCCAGTGCTCTTTTCTGTTCTACTACCACATGGCAGGTGAAACAGAAGTGATCTTGTCATGGGTGTAGAGTAGACTATATACTACCTGCACATGAGTAGGAATTACACAAAGAAGTTCAGGAAAGAGATTATAAACTTGTAGCGATATGGAACCTTCAACTATGTGCCTATCTGCTGGAGTTCTGTATCTGTCAAAAGCTTAATACAAGCTGGGGAAAGCATGACTAGACAATAATTCACGGGCAAAAAGTCTCAGAATCTCAGTGGACTGGAAGCTTATTACTAGTTAACAGTGTGACATGATGGCCAAAACAAGTGCTATCTTGAGCCACAGTGTTCGGCATGAGGGAGCCGGTGGGTCCCATTACATTCTGCCCTGGTCAGAGCCCATCTAGAATATGACCTTCTTCCATGGATTTTGGGGGGTCATATCTTAGGAAGGACACTGACAAACTTAAGTGTTTCTAAGACGGCAAAGGCACTAAAAAATAATGTGACCTGAGGATCTGCTGAAGAAACGACTAATTTTTAATTCTGAGAAACAAGTTGATGGGTTTATTTGTCATTACGGTGGAGGGAGGCGTTACAGTTATCTCTAAGCATATGAAAGGTTTTCATGGCAAAAACTTGTTCTGCTGAGTTCCAGAAGGCAGAACTTGGATCACTAGAGAGAAGTTATAGAAAGTACACTTAGGCTGGATGTAAAGAAAAACATTCTAACCAACAGAGCTGTCCCAAAGTGGCATAAGCTGCCATGGCCAGGGAGAGGTAGGACTAACTGGTCTCTAAGGGCTCTTCCAACCCAGAGATTCTGAGGGTAAGAGCACTACAAGATAACCATAATTAATATATAAAGAATGAAAAGAAAGGACAGGATGGAGAATAGAGGACCACAAAAGGCAACTAAGTATTGTCAAAGAAAAAGAAATTGTAAAGCACAGATCCAGACAGCTTTTAGGACAGAAAGATCAGAAGAGAATTAGAAAACAGGACAGTTTGAAAATTCTATGGTCTGTATTCAATAAGCCATATTTATAGGAAGGAGAAGAAAAAGGGCCCACAGAAATCCTGAAAGCAAAAAACATCATGTAAAGCCTTAAAGCACATTTAAATACAACAAATGCCAAATGGCATCCTTAGTTCTAGTTTGATGAAATATAGCCTATATTCCTGGGAAACATAGAAAAAAATTATGAAAGACTGAAAAATTAGATTAAGGAAATTCAAGTTTGATGGAAACCCAGAAAGAAAAATTTATGACTAGAAAAGGTGTTCAAGAACAAATCAAAGGCATTTAACATCGGGATATCATGCCTTTCACTTTCCTAATGCTCTCTAAATCTCTAGTACTGATTCTGACTCCCATCCCACATTCTTCCAGCTTGCCTTATGCACATCTGTATCCAGACAGAGCCCCCATCGTATCATTTCATTGTTGGCCATCTCATTCTTCGAAATTTTCTGCAGAAGGTTTCCCAGGGCAGTGTGGTGCTGTTTAGGGCTTAGGTTGATCTGTTGGGTTAAATCCTACATAAAATTGGAAGAAGAATAAAGGATCATGAGGATTGCTTCTTCTAATTCAGGGCTAAATAAATAGCACTGCTTTCAAAATGAAGGTTTGTGAAAACTCTTTCCCAGTAAAATTAGCAAGGATTTACAAGGGCCTCAAAGATTTATAAAACCCCCCTTAACATTTACACAATGACTACATTAACGAGGTATACTGAGCAACACAGAGGTATACTTCCTACTGTTTAGCACAGAAATGATCCAACCTGAGACATACATTTGGTGACATGGCCAGTGTATTGATTTATTTTGTTTAATTACTAATTTGTTACAAGGGGGGCTTAGTCACTGGGAAGGGGAAATGATGTTTAAAAAAAAAAAGCACCAATAAAACTTTTCCAAGGAAAAAAAGATCTAACCATCTAACCAACACACACACACACACACACACACACACACACACACACAGAAAAAGAATGTGCCAAAATTTTTTCTTTTAGGAAGGGGCTTGTCCTACAAACATTTATTAAGAATATCTGAAAACAACATGTGTGTGGGGAGAAACTCCTCCTGAAAATACAAAAGTGAATGAAGTGCAGGGTTTTAATGATTTTAACAATATTTTTAAAAAAATACTACTTTAATCATATGAGATAATTTCCAGAAAAGGTACATTTTCAATTCCTAGATCTAAAGTCTGTCACATAACAGTAATAATAGCCAATATTTACATAGCACTTTAAGGTTTGTGAAGTGCTTTACAGATATTATCTCATTTGATTTTCATAACAATCCTGTGAGGCAGAAGCTGTTATTGGTCCCCTGTACAAAAACTGCGGCTTCTCTAGGGTCACATAGCTAATAAGTAAATATCTGAGGCAGAATTCAAACTTAGGTCTTCCTGGATCTAAGCCCAGGAACTATAAACACTATACCACCTGGATGCCTCTATATTAAATTCTATTTGATATAAGTCATTAGCCAGGGGATTTCATTATGCCCATGTAATAAACTGTAAGAGTGACAAGTTCTATCATTACCCAGTATACCTAGCACTTCCAGATCTAAAGAAGAGGTTCTTAACCTGTGGTATGCGAACTCGTTTGAAAATGTTTTTTAGGGGCAGCTAGGTGGTGCAGTGGATAGAGCTCCAGCCCTGGAGTCAGGAGGACCTGAGTTCAAATTTGACCTCAGACACTTGACACTTACTGTGTGACCCTGGGCAAGTCACTTAACCCCAACTGCCTCACCAAAAAGCAAAAACAAAAAATGTTATTTAAAAATATATTTCAATATAATTGACTTCCTTCATAATCCTATATAAGGAGAAGGGACAGACAGGATGTGAGAATGAGGAAGGCAATGTGGCAGAGTGTTAGACTAATTGTAGACTTATTCTCTTTAAGCTAAATATTCACATTCAACAAAAGCAGACTTAATGTTAACAGATTAGAACACTTTTCTGAGCAGGAACAGTTTGCTGCTAACTTGGAGGGAAAGTTGAGCCAACACACAGTTGGCAACAGTGGAGCAGAACACGAGTGGGCAGCTTTCAGAGGGTTGGTGTACAGGATTGCATTTGCTCATCTGGGTCAGAACACTCGCAATCATCAAGACTGGATTGATGGAAACGATGGGGGAATTCAGAAGCTGCTAAATGAAAAACAAGAACTCCACAGGGTTTACCAGCAGGATAGTTCATCCATCTCTAAGACGGCAGCATTTAATTCCATCAAAAGTAAAGTACGTGTGAAGCTTAGAGAGATGCAGGATTCTTGGGTCAGTAAGAAGGCAGAAGACATTCAGTTTCATGCTAATAGTAACAATCCAAAGCGTTTTTATGATGTCCTGAAGGCTATGGGCTAAGGATATATGGTGCATCTCAACTACTCAGTGCTGATGGAGCCACATTGATTAGTGATAAGGACATGATCCTAGGCTGAACATTTCCATAGTGTTCTCAACATGCCATCATCAATCAATGCTGAAGCAAATGACCATTTACCTCAGGTTGCAGTAAATCCCTCTCTAGACAAACTGCCAACTGAAGAAGAGGTTTTGAATGCCATTAGGCTCCTCTCCTATAGCAAAGCACCTGGTACTTACTCTATTCCAGCTGAGATTTACAAGGTGGGGGGTCCATTGTTCATACAAAAGCCAACTGAAATTTTCTGGGTTATATGGCAAGAGATTATCTCCCAGGAGTTCAAGGATGCCTCTAATGCCCATGTTTATAAAGGTAAAAGAAATAGATTGTCCTGTGACAATCACGGGGGGGGGTCTCTCTCTCTTAGTCATTGCTGACAAGATTTTTGCCAGAGCCCGCCTTAATAGGCTGATCCTTCACTTGGAAGATGGTCATCTACCTGAGAGCCAGTGTGGCTTCAGAAAGGGTAGAGGAATGCTCGATATGGTGTTTGCTGCCTAACAACTCCAGTAGAAATGCCAGGAGCAGAACAAAGGTCTGTAGCCAATGTCTGTAGATCTGACCAGGGCCTTTGATATTGTCAGTCATGAGGGCTTATGGAAAATTATGTCAAAATGTGGTTGCCTGGAGAAGTTCATCAACATTGTAAGTCAATTTCATGACAGCATGCTTGCCTGAGTTCTAGATAATGGACAATGCTCTTGTGCTTTGCCAGTCACCAATGGAGCAAAACAAGATTGTGTGCTCCCGTGTTTTTTTTTTAGCATGATGTTTTCAGCCATGTTGTCAAACGCCTTCAATGAGGATGAACATGGCAGCAAGGTCAGCTACCACACTGATGGTAAATTCTTCAACTTAGAAAGGCTATAAGCCAAGACCAAAGTGGAAGGAGTGTTGATTCATGATTTTTTATTTGCAGATAATTGTGCACTCAATGCAGCCTCGGAAGCTGAGATACGACAAAGTATGGATCAGTTCTCTACTGCTTGTGCTAATTTTGGCCTAACAATTAACACAAACACAGGTGCTCCACCAGCCAGCACCACACTATTCATGCATGGAACCATCAGTTACAGCAAACAGAGAAGTTTTGAATACTGTGGGTAAGTTCACTTACCTTGGCAGTGTACTTTCCAGGGATGTACACATTGATAATGAGGTTGATTAGCCAGAGCTAGCTCAGCATTTGGGAGGCTCCAAAGGAAAGTGTAGGAGAGAAGAGGTATTAGATTGACTACCAAACTGAAGGTCTAAGAGCCGTTGTACTGACCTCATTGTTATGTGCCTGTGAAACCTAGACAGTATACCAGCACCATGCCAGGAAACTGAATCGCTTCCATTTAAATTGTCTTAGAAAGATTATGAAAATCACCTGGCAAGATAAGGCACCAGGTACTGAGGTCCTTTCTTGAACTAAACTGCCAACCATTTACACTCTACTGCACAGAGCCCAACTCTGATGGGCCGGCAGTGATGGCAGAGTGAACTCACACAACGCAAGTGCTCACATGGAAGGCAGGAGAATACATGGACGCCCTCAAGGTCTCTCTGAAGAACTCTGGAATCGCTTGCGTGGCATGGGAGACGCTGACACAGGACCACCCAGCATGGCATATCCTCATCAAATAAAGTGTTGTGCTCTATGAGCAAAGCAGAAGTGAAGTAGCTCAAAAGAAACTCTAGATGCACAAAGTTAGAGAATTCTCCCTGAATGTTCACATGGACTATTTGTGCCCAACCTGTGGTAGAATATTCCGAGCTCGTATTGGTCTGATCAGCCAGCTGAACACACTGTAAGTTGACTCTAACATAGTGATGTCATTTTGGTCCTTTTCAAGAACAAAGGACAACAAGCAATGTATTTTACTTTATGCATTTAAAAACTTTCTGAGAAAAGGACCCATGGGGCAGCTAGGAGTTGCAGTGGATAGAGCACTGGCTCTGGAGTCAGGAAGACTTTGAGTTCAAATCCAATCTTAGACACTTGATACTCACTAGCTGTGTGACACTGGGCAAGTCGCTTAACCCTAATTGCCTTGCAAAAAAGGAAAAGAAAAAGAAAAAAAAAAAAAGGACCCATAGGCTCCAACAGACTGCCAAAGGGATCCAAGACATTAAAAAAAGGTTAAGAGCCCCTACCTAGAAATTATGTGTCTAGAGAGCTTCCAGCTCAGAGGTCTAACAAGCTATTTAGCTTTACCAAATGACAGCTTGTAAGCATGAGACAGGTTCCTGCCAGCAGTTATATATGAAGGTATAAAGAGCATGAATGAATTTCTTTGTAAATTGTATTTATTCTGTGAGACTGATAAATTGTACATTTACCACACCCTACAAGGCAGTTATCAGTGTCAATGTGTGTGTGACTGCTATAAAAATGCTTTGTGGTGTTAATTCATTTGACAACGGGAGTGGTAGGTAGGTTTGAACTTTGGCATGAAGGAAAAGGAAAGAAGCCTTTTACTAGATAGTGATCTCTGCCATCACTCCACGTCCTATATGATAGTACTGATAGCAAACCACTGTCACCTGAGACAAGTACTTGAAAACAAGTAAAGCTAACATAGGCTACGCAGAAGACTATAAGCAGCTTGCATAGAATTTAGGAGGAAATGTGGTTTTAATCACATTTAAAAGTTTGAGCCTTTAAAAGTTTCAAAAAACAAAGTCTTTAGCAGGACTTCTAGGCTAGAATATACTAAAAGGAATTAAGGAAATGAAGGCAGAAATCAAAGGTTAGAAGAATTCACTGCTTAAAAAGAACATTATTTATGGCTCTTTCTATTTCTCCAACATCATTCTTCAAACAGCCGAGTAGCAATGTGGGACAGTGATTAGAGCACAGGACTTTGAATCAGAGGAACTAGGTTCAAATTCCATCACTCTTACTTACCTGTCTGACACTGGGCAAATTGCTTTACCTCTTGGGGTAAAATAAGGAGGTTGGAAAAGATGATCTCCAAGTCCCTTGCACTTCTAAAATAGTATTTTTCTATGAATTCAAACACTCTTTGTATCCTTGGGAAGAAAATAATTTCTCCCTAATTTACAAGGGGGCAAAACTGAAGCATTAAATAATGAAGAGGCTTGCTTAAAGTCATAATGGAGGTCAGTATATACACATCACTAATTTCTCAGCTCAATGATTAAAGATCTTCCTTTAAAGCAAGAGTCATCTTGTTACATCATGATAATAACATGCTAGAGACTGTAGGATTCTAACCTTCATGGCTCTAAAGTCTTTCTTCATTTTTTCTGGAATCCCGGTCATGAAGGATAGCTCTGGAAGTAGTAAGATCTCTCCTTTTAAAAGCTGAGGGAAGAAAAGAGTAAAAGGAGGAAATAATGAAGAAGAAGAGACATGGTGGGAAACCATACAGTTCCCATTGCTCTTTGGTGACTGCTGACTACATGCCTAGCTGTGCATATATCATGGTTTTCAGGCACGTCCTTTGATTTGCTATACCCAGCATTACAAGGTTCTGAATAAGGAAGCATTAAATCTCAGTAATTTTACTTTGTTCCTTAATACATCAGAAACTTTCTTAGCTTGAGCTGTTACTTTAAAAAGCATGTAGTTACCAGTAGACTGTACAATATTGATGTTATCAGGAGAAAAGGTAAAACTAGGAAAAGAGACTTATGTCTCTTCTGAGTCCCAAGACACAGCTGCAGCCATCCCGTGGTGAACAGTTGTGGCCAACCAGTATCTATGTCGGGTACATAGCTCATCTCCTCCATTCCTACTTTTTTCTGCCTTCAGTGTTTGCACCTGATGACATGTGATGAAGTCAATCTGGGGGGTGTAAGCAGAAGGTTAAGACTGCTTTCTCGCAAGAAAGGAGATTCTACAACTTCCCTAATTAAACTGGTTTGATATTTTAACATTCATGCTCAGGAAATTTTTCCTTTTATTTAACTTGGATCCCTCAAGATACTTTTTAGTGCTTCTTTACAGACACTATTTATGAGAAAGTGTCAAGGGGCAGCTCTGACTTCATTCCTCTTCACACGTAAACAGCATTTTACAATCCCCAAAATATATTCCTCATAACCTCATGAGGTAGGCAGTCATTGCAAACCTTAAGAACTCACGTCATATGAAAAACATTGGACCTAAATTTGCAACTACAATATAATAATAAATCCATGGTTCTTGAAAGTTATCAGACTGTTCTGGAGATGGATGAGAGTAGCCAAAAACTTAACAGAGAAGTGTAAACGTCAGTCTCACTCACCCTCCCTTGGTTATTCTGCCTCTCACTGGGCCTGTGGATCAGAAGTGGCTGGTCCTCCTCTTTGACTGCGACTCCATAGTTTTTGCTAGAGAAAGGCAGAGGCAGAGGAAGTGTTTAGAAGAACGTTTATGTTCCGAAAGTGACAAGTTCCACTAACTAAGCTTCTTAAGCAGTTCTATAGCATAATATTTGCATAACAGTCCTTGTCAGAAATCCATTGGGAAGAGCTCATCATTTATCAATAGTGTCAAAAAGAAAGATCAATTTTCTATGTAAATTAAGTGGTGGTAACGTAAGGTATTTAGTCTACAAAGAGTTTGTAATCTACTGCCACCTGGTTAAAGGCTTTGTTAACCAGACAGGACTAAATATGAACAAATCATTAGCTCAGTTATTTTAATGATTTCTTCATCCAGCCTCCTTACCCAACCAACTATACCAAAATAATAATTATGATAATAGTGACCATTTAAATATATGGCACTTTAAGGTTTGCAAAATGATTTACAAATATTCTCTGGGAGGTACTTACTATTATTACCCCCATTTTACAGATGAGGAAAAGACAGACAAAGGCCAAGTGCCTTTCCCAGGGTCACACAGCTGATAAGTGTCTGAGGCTGGATTTGGAGTCAGGTCTTCCTGACAGGAGAAACTACCAATGAGCAGGGAGATTTAAGTTTAAAAGATAGCATATTCATGCCAAATATCTTGAGAGTTACTACTTAGCTTATTATTTAAGAAAAATCATACTCTACAATGAGATTAAAGTTCCTTCATTCTCTTCCTTCTCTGGGTTCACACTTAGTCTTTCCTACCTGTAGTATTCCAAGAATGTAATCTCCTTCCCATCAGACATTACGAAACTATCTTTTGGAGTCTTATTCCAGTCAATATCATCAATACGATAGGTACGATTGTTGTATCGGGTTATAACAATGTTGCCAACTAGCATCTTGGTACACTCATCTTGGAAGTTTTCACTGCTCTGCTGATATATGGCATGCCTTTGGGGAAAACAAGTCAGAGTTTTGACATGTAGTTACCAGTTGACTACAGAAAAAACAGAACGAAACACAGAAGGGACAAAGCAATTTAATAGGAAACAGGGCAGGTGGATCTGTCCCTTCCCCGCCTCCCCTTTCTCTCTCCCCTTTTATCCCTGTCTCTGTCTTTTTTTCTCTCTCTCAGCAAGGTTAACTACTTATTGCTTCAAGTTTCTCATCTGCAAAATGGGAATGATAATCACTTCTCTCTTTAACCAAATTGAATTAACCAAACTGAAAATCACCAACATAGTACATAAAATGCTATAAAAACACCTTATTAAAGGCTACAATGTGGAAGAGAGACTGGACTTGTGTTTGGCCCCTGATGGCAGAGCCAAAAGTCATTGGTAGAAGTCACAATGAGGCAAATTTAAGCACTGTGTCTACAAAACTTTCCTAGTAATTAGAGGTACCCAAAAGTAGAATGGGTTGCCACAAAAAGTACTGGATTCTCCCCCATTGGAAGTCTTCAGGCAGAGGATGGATGAGCCCTTTTTGGATGTGACTGTATGGATTCCTTTTCAGATGTAGGATAGACTAGATGGTCATAGAGACCCTTTCCAACTTCAAAATTCTGTGATTTTCTGATCTCTTGTACATCTTATTCCACTAAAATTAGAACTGATAAATTCTTGCCTTGATTTGCCTATAATTTTCATGAAGGGCAAAGAGATAGGTTTTTCATTATTAAGGTTTATTGTTGATTTCCACCAAAATTATAGAAGATGGGGCAGCTAGGTGACGCAGTGGATAGAGCACCAGTCCTGAGTCAGGAGGACCTGAGTTCAAATGTGGCCTCAGACCAAACACTTGACACTTACTAGCTGTGTGACCCTGGACAAGTCACTTAACCCCACTGCCTAGCCAAAAAAAAATTATAGAAGAGATTATTAAATAAATGGTTTATATATGACAGGAAACAATGATACTGGTAACCACCATAGAACATATTATTTCTAGATTTCAGTAAGGCCTTTGATAGCCTCATGTACAAAATGGAGAAATATGTATGTATATATATTTTAAATCTACATATATACACATATACACATATATATTCCACTCCATTAACATAACCATCATCCTGAGAGCTTCATCACCTCTCACCCACACAATTATATCAGTCTTCTGATTTAATTTCTACTTTCTTCCTTGTCCAATACAGCTTCCATATAGTGATTAAGAATAGCCTTCCTATTTCAGTGACTTCCTTCTGCCTCTAGGATAAAATACCAATTTCTTGACCTGAAATTGAAGGCTTTAATCATCTGGCCTCCACCCTCCCTTTTCAAATTTATTTCCCATGATTCCTATATCTGCACTCCATTAAACTAGAATCAAGTCACTATTTCTTGTCCTTGACATTTCATCTCCTATCTGTCCATGTGCTCCCAGCTGTCTCCCACACTTCTCCTTAAACCTCACTTTCAGCATCCTTTTCTTCTTCCAAGGTTCAGCTCAGGCATCACCCTACCCCCACCCCAGCCGTTCTAGTTGTTAATGCTCTCTACCTCTTCAAATTACTTTATATTTCCTTTTGTAAATGTGTGTTACATCCCCCCACTGAAATGGAAAGTCCTTCAGGGCAGGAACTCTTTTTCATTTTTATCTCTGTATCCAGCACAAAGCTGGCATTTAATAAATGTCTATTGAAACAAATTTAAGTATGGACAGAAAAGAAAGAGACAGAAAGATTGTCAGGAAAAAGGCAACAGGATTAAGGTAGGGTTAAAAAAAAGTAGCCACAAATGACCCTGACAGTCCAATTTGGAGAACAGGACCCTATGCCTAATATTTCTGAGGAAAATTGGCTTAAAAACACTATTCTAAAGAAGCTTTTGTCTATTTCAAAATTTAATGGAACACATGTTCTGGCCCTCTCTCCTAGCCAGGCTGCCACATTTGCTTTAAGGGTTCCAGAAGGGTTGGCATGTTCTTCTCCTAACGGTCTATGCCAGATATTTTCTCTCCCCACTGTTAGGGGACAATGACTAGCACCTCAATTCAATTTAACCATTTAACAATGACTTTTACAAAAGGATATTTACTCCAAAGATATACCAAGAACAAGTACAGACATCCCTTTACCCCAATACCTCCAAGGGCACATTGGCCTATAACACCTCAGTCTCTGGGGAAGGAGGTTCAAATCTTAGCTCAGTTCCAACACAGCATTGGTCCTACCACATTCAAATCCAAAGGTAGTAAGTGGTGTTGGACAGGTCCTCATATCAGCTTCTACTGGGAGGAGGACCAGAAGATCAGGGGAGGAGAGACCTAAAGACCATTCCTTGCTCCTTGGTACATCAGTACTGAGCTGGCTTAAGTACCTGGTCTGACTCTGGGATTCCTGTGGCTTCCTTGCTGACATTTTGAAACTCTCAGATACTCCACTCCCTTCACCAATATCCTGAGTGAAGGAGTCTCTGAGATGTCCTACAAGGGGACAAGGCAAAGTGCCAGTAAATGAAGCTGACAGGGCTTTCTAAATACCTTAACAGTCAATCAAAGAGCTTCTCCTCCATTGCATGAAGTGGAACCAGTTACAGAATTATCCCTATATGCTCTATAGTCTCTTGCATGTCATCACAATTCTCCCAGAAACCATCTACCCAGAGTCCTCTACATGGAGAGAATACATCAGCCAAATAAGCTTTAGATTCCCATTATATTAATTCATTTTTAGAATTAGTCTTTTTTAATGAAAATGTTGTCTGTATTAAATTTTTTTAAAAACCGCATTAAACCCTCCTCCCCCACCATAATGACAAAAAAATCAAATCCATCCTTTTTTAACTTTTGAAAAGAATTTTTCCTCTCCCATATGAAGAAGACAGGTAGAAACATCTAGAATGACTGATTGTTCACATGTGCCAACCTTTGATCACTTATTGTAAAAAAATTATTTAAGAACTTTCCAGAATCAAGAAAAATAAATGATATTTTGCCAACAGAAAAATCCATAGAACTCTAAAAATAAAAAGCTAAAAACTTAACTCACCCATATCCATCACCACCAAATTTTAAAATAACTTCAAAGACAAAAGAATCTTTCAAGCCACCAAATTTCTCCTGAATCAGGGTCTCCCCAGATTTGCCTGCCATGGCTCCAGGGTTGTTAAAAGTGACAGATGGAATTCAAATTCAGAGAGACTGCTTTAATTACACATTTTATTCTACAACTCCTGTCCCTCATACAGGGTTCCCCTGAGAATATATGCTTTGCTAGTATCAAACAAAGAACTAGACTGTTCTACAAAGAATTCCTATAACAAAGAATTCCAGTAAGGATGTGAATCTGAGCCTATAGGTAGACAAGAAAACATTACCCCATAATGTGCCCCTACCTTTCCCAGGGATCTAACCTACTGTTCCAGAATTATAACGTCACCCTGGAGCTGTACCCACTTCCACACCTCCTCACCTCATCCTTCCCCTTCCCCCTACTCCCACCAAACGGGGAAAGAATTTGAGATTTCTAAGAGTCCAGCAAACATCTCATGTAGGAGAAAGGAATAAGCTCTTACATACTGCCTACTGCATGGCATGCACTGTGCTAAGCACTTTACAAATTTATTATCCTATTTAATCCTCACAACAACACTGGGAGGCAGGTGCTAGAATAACTCCCCCCCTTCCATTTTACAGTTGAGGAAACTGAGGCAAACAGAGGTTCAGTGACTTGCCCAGGGTCACAAAATTAGTAAGTGTCTGAGATTGGATTTGAACTTGGGTCTTCAATGATTCCAGGCCCAGTACTCTATTCACTGCACCACCTACCTGTCCCCATAAAATTTATAATTAAAATGGAAATTAAGTTAAGGGGGGAAAAAGTCAGGGAAAAGAAGTGGAATATAAAGAGGGTGGAAGGGAGTGGTAATGCCAAGGCAAACCACTGAAGAGGGTTAGTTGCCCCTAGAGTTCAGTCATCCTGCTGAGGCATTTCAGCAGCTGGAGGGCAGAGTAACCTGTATGCAGCCACAAATAGTCTGACAGTGAGTTTAGCAAATAAAGAGAAGACTCTGCTAAACTCTTATATTTGTTGCCTCCTCTGATAAAGAAATCTCTGCAGCTTAGCCTGGGATTCAGTTTTCTCTGATCCCCTTGATTCTGTTGATCCTCCTGTGGACCCTGCAACTGCACCAGGTTCTAGACTACAACCTGGTGACAAACTTTTGCTTTTTCATATGAAAATTCTAGCTCCTAACCTGGTAGGATTTCCCACCCATGGTATTACACACTCTTCCAAATCAGGAAAGTTTTTATGATAATAGTGAGCTTTTATACAGTGCTTTAAAGTTTGCAAAGCACTTTAGATATTACTTCATTTGACCCTTATGACAGTCCATTTTATTATCCCCATTTTACAGATGAGGAGATCGAGGCTGAGAAAGATTAAGTGATTTACCTAGGATCACAAAGTTAGGAAGCAGATGAGGGCAGAATTTGAACTCAGGTCTTCCTGACTCTGAGTTTAGCAAAGTACACGCTATGCCACCTAACTACCTCTGTACCATAAAATTTGCCCATGCCTATTTGCCACAGCTCACAGCCATGACAGGATATGGGTCCTACCCTTGGGGCTGGGAGGGAGAAGGGAGAGGAGAAAGGAAAAACAATAAACAGCAGCATAAATTTTAAAAGTCTGTTTAGTGCCCCTAGAGTCACTCCTCTCCAGGCTGCACTCCTAATCCTCTCAGAAATGTCTCCAGCCTGGAAGTCCACTCTACCCAGATACTTCTCACACTGAAAGGCACCCCTCCTCCTTCTGATTGGCTGATTCCTCCCAACACCTCCATTTTAAGAGACCCAAGCCAATCATATTTTCCTTCCTCTCCAGGCTGCACTCCTACCATGCTGCCTTCACCTCCTACCCCTCATTTTCAATTGCCTTTTATGTGTTATCTTCTGCCATTATAATGCTTGTTGAAGACAGGGACTGTCTTTCTGCCTATTTG